CCCCAAAACCCCAAAACCCCAAAACCCCAAAACCCCGCAATAGGAATTTATAATTGAAAAGTTTGAATTTTGCAACAATGACTTCTATTTTGTCCCAAGACGAGATTATGGATCTTGACAGTAAGATCTTAGCATTATCTGAGAATGCCTCCACTGCATCGGAAAATGATGATCCTGATACAAAGGCAAAGTACGTATTTAGCCGTTCTTCGTTCTGTTTTCAGTATCTTAATCTTTACCTAGGAATGTAAAGCCCTTGAGCGAGCAAGAGGTCAAGCAGCTGTGAGAGAAAGCAAAGGAGATCCTTCAGAATGAGAGCAACGTGGCACAAGTCAAGGCCCCAGTCACTGTCTGTGGTGACATCCATGGTCAATACCATGACCTTATGGAGTTATTCAGAATTGGCGGAAATTGCCCTGATACTAATTACCTCTTTATGGGAGATTATGTCGATAGAGGCTACTATTCCCTTGAAACAGTCACTCTTTTAGTGGCTATGAAGGTCAGATATAGAGACAGAATCACAATTTTGAGAGGAAACCATGAAAGTCGTCAGATCACACAAGTCTATGGGTTTTATGATGAATGTGTAAGGAAATATGGAAGTCCGAATGTGTGGAAGTATTTCACGGACCTATTTGATTTCCTACCTCTAACAGCTATTGTCGAAAATGACATTTTCTGTCTCCATGGAGGTCTCTCTCCTCATTTGGATACCCTTGATCAAGTAAGAAAGCTGGACAGAGTCCAAGAGATCCCTCACGAAGGAGCAATGTGTGATTTGCTATGGTCAGATCCCGATGAAAGATGTGGATGGGGTGTCTCTCCAAGAGGAGCAGGGTATACTTTTGGACAAGATATTTCAGAGCAATTCAATCACACAAATTCTCTCAAATTAGTTGCGAGAGCCCATCAACTTGTCAACAATGGGTATAGCTGGAGTCATGAGAAAAATGTGATTACCATCTTCTCAGCTCCCAATTACTGCTATAGATGTGGAAATGAAGCAGGAATTATGGAACTAGATGAGCACATGAACCAGACATTTTTAGTCTTTGACCCTGCTCCAAGAAGGGGAGAGGCAAATGTGACTAAGAAGACACCAGATTATTTCCTTTAATTCTGGCCAAGAGTTAATTTCAGTTTAATATATTATCAAAGGGGTTTTGGGGTTTTGGGGTTTTGGGGTTTTGGGGTTTTGGGG